GGTTCAACATCGACTTCTTCAACTCCTTCTCCACCAACACCGGGACCCAATTGTTGTCCCCCTCTTTCACTTCTTCTCCTTGCTTCGGCTAGCTCTCTCTCCATTGCTAGGAGCCAGAGAGTTCAGTTTATGTCCTCGTTAAGTGGTATCAAAGGTGTCGGGTTGCTTCGGGTCATGCACCACCTAGACACAATCGGAAAACACCAAGTCTAGCACAAGCAAAGCACACACTTGAAAAACTGGAAATTAAAAGCTAGATTAACAACCAACAACTTTTTCAAGATAGCAGACCGTTGTCCCCGGCAACGGCCCCAAAAACCTGACTCGCACAAAACGACACCACAATAAAATCCCAACTAGAGCCCAAGTTCTTAAACTCTACCATGATATGTGAATTGGAACGATTGCTTTGGGCACGATAATCGCGAACCGCAGAGGGATGCATATATGATCAAAGACCACAATCTCATTCGCTAAACCGAGGTAAGAATGAAAGCTCGTGTCACTCGACCCTCTCGGTTTAGACAATCGGTAGTTGACTTACTCCCTCACTCAACTCTAAGGTCGTAAGGCTTAATCGTGATTAACCAATTTGCTTAACTCAATATTGAGGGTTGCCCTAACTTAACCTAGTTTAGGTGGCTTAGAAAGAGGAAGGAAAACCAACTCGATTGAGTCTCCCTTGAAAGGAAGATTTTCCTCTCTAAGCTAGGCTAAGGTGGCTAATTAGATTGCTAGCACCAATATGCACAAACCTAAGGGTTCTAAGCACAATTATGCACAATCCTTAGGTTGCTAAGAACCTAAATGCACAAACCTAAGGATGCTAAGCACAAAACATGCACAACCCCTAGGTTGCTAAGCATAAGCATGCACAATCATGATGAACAATGCCTCATTCATTGAATTAAACAATACCCAATGACAATCATCCCAAAAAAAACTACATGGTAGAGTTAGGGTTTCACAACATCCAAGTGAAAGGAGATCTACTCCATGCTAGAAGTGGGAAAAACAAACGGAAAGAGGAGGAAACCATCTTGGAGGATGCTCTCAATCTTCTTGGCCCTTGTATTGAGCTTTTCGTGGAAGAAATCTTCCCAAAATATGCCTTGAAAAAAACCCTAGCCTTCTTCTTCCTTTGGTTCGTGTTTCTCTCTCTGTAATTCTGAAGAAGGCTTCTCTCACAAAATGGGCTATCCCCTCTCTCATCCTTTTAGCTCATCATTTAAACCATAGACGAGCTGAGTTCACAGTCGTGAACCACGAAACGCGTCCGTGAACTTCAGGCGTGCGCCAAAACGCGCCGCATCGTTCACTTCTGTTCATGGTTAACTACCTTTGTTCACGGTCTTATAGACCATATCTAAACATTTTACGTTGTGGACAGAAATAGCCACATCTATATGAAATACAATAAAATAGCCAAACTTTCTAGATTGTTAGACAATTATAATCATCTATTAACTTTTCCGTTAAATCTGCTGAGGTGGCAACGATTTATCACCCGTCGTTACGACTCATCATTACAATTAATAAAATAATTATTTTTAATTAATTTATAATTATCAAATGAAAAATTTTCATTTTTCTTTCTTGTGTAACTGCGGCTTCCTTATTCCCCTATTCTCTTTTCCCACATCGCCTCTATACTTCTTCACACATTCCCTGGCAGACGATTTCTCGTTCTCTCTCTCTCTCTCTCTCTCTCTCTATATATATATATTTGCAGTAACCATTAGATGTTTTCCTCATCATATCTCTCACTCATGTCCCTATTTCTCGAAACCACATATCTTCTTTTCCATTTATTTGTCTCTGTTCTCCCTCTCGCCATGATAACTAAAAGATGCTTTCAACAAATTATTTCAATTTCATAGGGCTTCTAGCAAAGATTGATTCATGAGATTGTAAAGCGGATGAGGAGAATTTGCAAGAGAACGAGGTAGAAGGATGATGAGGAGGGGTATGGTGGCGAACAGTTGGTGTTGTCGCAGTGGAGAAAGGAGGAATGTGGGAAGAGAAGGATGTGGTTCATTAGGTTTTTCTGTGTTTTTCTAAATTTTTGTTGTTATCATAATGGTAAATGAATAAAAAATAATTATTTATCTTATATGGAGCTTATGTGTCAGCCAAGTGGATCCCCAAGTGGATGCATATCACTATCTCTATTATCCATCTCACCGTAGTTAACGGTGATGTTACCGAATAGCTACAATTGTCCAGCGTTATGAAACGTTTGGATATTTTACTATATTTCATATAGATTTGACTATTGACTCATCCCGAATATCACAATAAATTCCCACCTAAGGCTCAAGTATAAACCTTAGATGGGTGTAATATAGGGCAAGTATGTTAAATATCAACTCGGGCCGATCCGTGTACCCCTACTTCCATTGTTTGAAGCATTATCTAGCGAATTGGTTTTTTGTTGAAAACTATGAGATTTAAGTCAGAACAAAGCAAAGGTAAATGGTTTGAAAGCTCTAGATGAGAAGAATCACTTGGGTGTCGCTTCCCCCTAACTACTACCATGGCACGTGGAATCGAATTAATCATCATGGGCAAGGTGATCGTGAACCGCTATGAAATGAAACTATGGTCGTAGACCACACTCTCGATTGCCAAACCAAGGGATACATTATAGGCTACTCAAGTAGCCCTCTTGGTCAAGGCAATCGAGGGTTGACTTACTCTCTCCCTCAACACAATGGTTGGACGGCTTAATCACGCTTAACCAAATTGTTTAATTCAAGATAGAGGTTTGCCCTACATTAACCTAGATAGGTGGCTTAAAAGCTTAAGGAATCCCAACTCAATTGAGCCTTCTTTGAAAGGGGGTTTTCCCTCTAGGCTAGGTTAGAATGACCAATTGGATTGCTAAGCACAAACATGCACAATCATCATGAAAAATACCCCAATCATTAAATTAAATAACACCCATAAACAATCATTCAATTTACACAACAACTACATGACAAATAGTTAGGGTTTCACAACACCCAAGTGAAAAAGAGTACTACTCCATGCTAGAAAGGGGAAGAACACAAGAAAAAGGGGTAGAAACCATCATGGTGATGACTCCAATCTCCTCTAAGCTTGTGTTGATCTTTTCTTGGGGAGATTCTTCCTAATTCACTACTTGGAGCAAACCCTAGCCTTCCTTCTTCCTTGGTTCGTCCTTTCTCTAAAATCTGAAGAAGAAGAAGACACTTTCTCACTCTTGGGCTCCCCCTCTCTCTTCCTTTCAGCTCAAATTTTATACCAGGATCGGGCTCCGTTCACGGCCGTGAACTCTTCACCACGTCCATGAACACAGAGCGTTGTGTAGAAATGCACCGCTTCACCATCAGGAGTTCACAGTTTGCCCTCAATGTTCACTGTCTTGTTGACCGTGAACTCGCCTTGCGCCAGTAACTGCAGATTTCTCCCTGAAATCCTCACGGTTTACGGTTTTGGGCTTCAGTTCACGGCCATAGGAGACCGTGAACTCCAATGATAACCCATGAACCTCGCCTGAATTATCCTCTTTGCCCAGTCTTTGCCTCTTTTCATCAAACTTTCGACTCTGAGGTTGGTTTCACCTGTTGGATCCTGAAACACACTAAAACGCAAAAAACCTAACATAAAACCACCCTTTTAGGAGTTCAAATGTTACAAACGCACAAGGGAAACGAGGATAAAATGTGTGCAATTAGGCCCGAAGCAACTATTTTTGTCTACAACGTAAAAGGTTTGTCTATTTCTGGGCATTTACCCTATCCTTTATATTTTTTAGGCAAAATACACTCACATAGCTACAACTTTCACGTTTCTGACAAATATAGCCATAACTATCGGAAAACACAAAATAGCCCAAAAATAGAATGGTTTTGTGACAAATCTAGCAATTTCCGTAAGAAACTTTAACGGTGTTAGAAACTCCGTCGGTAAGGTTAATGTTAGGCTTACTAGGATGTCAAATCATCGCACACATCAGCGACAACTCAGCCACATTTGCCATGTAGATGTCACATCATATTTTATTTAAAAATAAAAAAATGTGATCTGAAGCATCCTCCCCCCTTTTGTTATCACCCCATCGCCCATTTTCCTTCTATCTTTCCTCTTCCCCAAAGCAAACCCTGCCCACCCTAAATTTCTCGATCACCTCCACCACCACAAAATTTCTTTCATCCACCCCAGATCTGATTGATCGAAAGACCACCAACCCCAGTTAGGGATGGGAATCAAACCCATGATCGTGGGTACCCACCCGCTCCCGACCAAGTCAACGCGGGGAATCTCCACTTTGACCGGGTATGGGGCGGGTCTGGATAAAACCCGTAAAACGTTTGATGGGTATGGGGCTGGAATGGTTTTAGCCTCCCCCGCCCCATACCCATACCCGCCCCATTAGGATAATTTCATCACATATAAAAAATACATTTATTAAATTATAACTTATCTATAATAGTGAGGGTAAATCAAGAAAATATTTAGGACAAATGTAATTGGGTGGCTACCCAAATCAAAACTTAATTCTTTTTCTGCAACTCTCCGTTCACTCTTTCATTGTTTCGATTATTAACAAGATTATGTTGGTTAGTTATTACTTAGTAGATGTGTTAGAGTAAGAGAATAATTATATATTTGGATTACATTGCATTCTACCTTATTGATTAACGAATGCTTTAGGATAATATGCTTTGAACCGTGTTAAGAATGATTGTCTCTTTGTCGACTTCATGATATAGTCAGTGCCTTGAGTGTTATAATTGAAAATTTATATATAAAATTTTAGGTGTTATCATGTTGGATTTATGGGGCGGGTATTACCCATGGGTACCCGAAACCCACGGCTATGGGGATGATTTGGAAAACCATCCTCCGCATGGGTATGGGGCAGGTATGAGTTTGGATATTTGAAAGCGAGGATGGAGATGGTTTAGCCAAACCCGCCCCATTGCCATCCCTAACCCCAATTCTCATCGCCTCAGATCCTGTTTTCCCTCCGCCTTCCAATTGGGAAGACTCAAGCTCCCTGAAAGGAACGGCTACAATGGATGCGGTGGTAGAGCTTACTCCAACACGATGGAGATGACGACGACTCGTCCGCTTCCAGTTGGGAAGACTCGAGTTTCCTCCCCAATTCTTGATCCACTCCTTGCATCTCGATCTCTCTTGACTCCTCCTCGCGATGGAGATGACGACAGCTCCACCGACGGTGACGCGTGTGAAGGAGTTTGCGGTGATGGGTGCGAAGGATTTGGCAGTGGCGATGACGGGTGCGAAGGATTTGGCGGTGATGGAGCTCCCATAGCTACTCATCCTTCGGCGAGCCCAAAACTGTAACTGGCAAGCATATGGAACGCAGACCACCAACTGGCTAGCAAAATATGTTCTTGGACGTTTAAGAAGAGAAGGAGAATGCATATTGAGATTCTTTGAAGCTAAACCCTCCCCCAGATCGAGATTTTCTAGAGAACATATCAAGATCCCTCACCGGCGACCAATGGGTTTTCTTCGACAAGAACCAAATTCTTCTACCAGTGGGTTTTTGTGAGTAGGATATAAATGCAGACTAAATCTCACTGCATGCTCCTTCTCTTGTACGAATTCGTGTGCTTCTGAAACACAAGGCAGACGGAAATTTTTGAGTTGGCGATTTCTGGTTCAATTGGGTTTGTGAATTAGGGGTTGTAGATTAGGAGTTATTTTTGGGGCAATTTTGGGTCGTCTATCGAAAGAAGAGGAGAAGAAAGTGGGAAGGCGAAGAGATGGGGAACAGACTAAATGGGCATTTTGAATTTTATTTTAGGCAAAATACACTTGTATAACCATAAGTATACACTTTGTGACAATAATAGCTAGATTTTGAAAAATACACAGAAATAGACACACTTTTGAAACTAGTATGAAAAATTTAGCTATTTCCGTTAAAAATATTAACATCGTTAATGACTCCATCAATAACGTGGGCATTATGCTGATGTGGATGCCACATCAGCCTCCATATCAGCTCTAACTTGTCACATCACACCATCTAACCGCCACCTCATATTTTCATTTTAAAATAAAAATCATAAATTAGGGTTCCAAACCAAATCTCCCATACTTTTTTCTTGCCTCAGCATCCTTCTTGCCTCGTCCTTTCAGTGAGATCAGTTTCTTTGTTCATCGTTTTGGTCGAGTTCTTTCACAAACAATTTATTTTGCTCTGAACCCGATATCCCCTTCTTCAAATATCTTCGAGTCTTCCTATGAAACCCAATATCCTTCAAGCTCGACCATCACCATCACTCTTCCCACTCCCTCGTTTCGCTTCACATTGGGTCGTATCGCCTCCTAATTAATCAATTACAAACCCATTACAACCTAACCCGTCTCTGTGTGGTCAAGATTCCCATATTAGATTTAAATCAGGGAAACGAAAACCACAAGCCAAAGAAGGCGTCGTTGGGTAGGAGTCCACCTCTTTTTACCAGAACCAAAAGATATAGAGGCAAAATTCAAAGAGAATCCCATAACAAGACCCAACGATGAGAAGACCCTTTTAATCCTCTGAATCTACAGATTTGGCGCTATCTAGTGGTTGGAGAACAAGGCCCAATTGCATCTTGTTGCTGAGCACAAATAAGCAGATTGGTTGTTGCTCAGTATGAATCCTCCTGCCCATAAGGAAATTTGAGCCCATCACATCGAGGAACTAAGCACTCGAATCCTCTACTTCTAGCAGACCTTTTTGATTGCCATCGGGGAAGGAACAGTTGGGCCTCCAAAATCGTCTCAGCATCATTATTGGTTGCGATTCTACGGCAAAGGACGGCGAGCTTTGTAATCGAAGAAGATGAAGGAGATGAAGAGAGATAAATTTGAGGGATTCTACTTTGTCTTTTTCCATCTGCTCAGTATGGATTCGCGCCAGCGGTGGGTTCGGAGATCTAGAACAATAATGGTTGACGCTAGAGAGGCCCTTGTGCGACTAGATCGATCGGTACTCGAGGCGACATAGCCTGCGGTGGATGGAGGGGTCGACGTGAGGGCTGAAGCAGAGCAAAATGATGGAGTCCCTTGTGCGCATGGATCTGCCTGCACTAGGTCTTCGTTGAATCTGGTGGTGGCATGTTTGTACGTTTTGTGGGTTTCAACAGGGGGCGAATATGGTTGATGGCGACAACGGCTGGGGAAGGGGCTTAATGGGATGAGCTAGGTCTCAGATGCTCGATCGGAGATGTACAAAGAAGAGGAAATGAAGGTGGAGGCATATGGAGAGAAGAGCTTTTAACTTTTTTCCTTTTAATTTTTTCCTGTTTTGCCACGTTATAAACACATTCCACCTAGATTGCCATGAAGATGAAACTTGACCACGTGGCAAGCAACCGTTTGTCCAATCAACAGTCGTGAGAAAATCATTAATTTTTTAGACGGAATGACTAATATCAGTGTATTTTTCAAAAAATGGCTATTAATGCCACAACGCTAATAGTTATGGCTATGAAAAAGTATTTTGCCTTTGTTTTATTTTATTTAAGTTTTTTCTTTAATCCACGTGAACTTTCACTGAGTAAATGTTGATAGTTCAACATTTTTGTTAGTCCACGCATACCGTTAACTAACACCGTTAAAATATGGATTTAAATGGCTATTTTGTGTTTTTTTATAGTTATGATTATATTTGTCACAAACGTGATATTTATGGCTACACAAGTGTATTTTCCCATTTTTAATGTGATTTGTTGTGTTTCTACCTTCGTAGTAGCTTTATGATACTTGTGGTCTTACATGCGTGTTCTCTCAACCTCAATACTATTTAAAAATAACTAGCGTGCCCCTCCATTTAAAAATCGGCATTACTTATATTGAACCCTTTCAATATAAAGTGTCAGCAAAATGAAATTTTCGTATTTGATGAAATTAGTGTTAACACCATGCTAACATATTGAGTGTTAGCACCCTAACCTTGGGCTTCTAAACATGATATTAGTGGCCAAATGCCACATATCAATTGCACATAGAGGTGTCAATTTTATATCTAATCCACCAATCCAATAAAATCCAATTCATCCACTAATATATACATGAATCCACCAATCCAATTGGATTTGGACCGGATATAAATGACTTGTACGTGTACTTTTTAGTGCCTAAACTTGTGGAAAATTACAGTTTAGTATATATAACTTTTTTTTAGTTTACATCTTGATACCTACAATTTAATTTTATAATAAAAATTATCATTAAAAATTTACGTTTTGGTATCTAAGATTTTTATTATGACATTTTAGTACCTAAACTTTTTGAAATTTACATAGTGGTCCAATCTTTAGATGTATCCATGAATCAAATTCACTAATTCATGAATCCACCGCTCCATGAATTCATCAATTCTTTTTGTTCTATATCCATTATCTAGTATATTTACCACCTCTCGAATTGCATATATTTTTAAATTTCCGTAGCTCCTGTAAAAAAAAATTCCATAGCTAAACGACGGGTCTGGAGAGGATGCATAACCTTTGGTTATGCACTCTTGCATAAACTAGCTAAACATGATCTAGTTATGCAAATGTGTATAACCAAATCTAGACCTTCATTTTTCAGTGGTCCCAAAAAATTCAGATCTAAAGGTTGGGAATTAAAGATATTTTATTTTCCCTTTTTTTTAATAGACTCTTATCTTCTACGTTCTAACTCGGGTTTCTTTTTTTTTTTTTTTTTTTTTTTGCGCAGATGAAACGAGTATGGTGTGCTCTACAAAATGAGATATATTTTCAATTTTTTTAAAAAAAACTTTCATACCAGTCATTACCAACTTCTTACCATATGGTATCTCCTTCGTTTTTAAGTCGGTTTTGAAAATTTTGCATAGAAAGAACGAGTTCATTATGATCAATTGGACCTAAAAATTTCTGAGTGAAAAAAATACAAGATCAATAATACCACCCTGGTATGGGGATGGTATCTTGCGGTACACAATCATAAATGACAGTTAGTATATTCCTACTATCATCTATTCAATCATCCTACAGTCTTGGTATGTTCGTATCATATGATATGCTTTTATTTTATTACCAATCAATACCACCATGGTATAGGCTGGTATAAAATGCCCAAAAAGATTTCCATCCAAACATATATCAAAGTGAATATCATTTTGAAAAGCACAATTAATCTGTTTTGTTTGTGCAAAAAAATTAAATTATAACTTAAAACGAGAGTGAAATCGTCTGGTAAATATTAAAAGAGAAAATATTAAAGACTTTCAAGGAAAGATGGGTGTTAATGAGGCGGATTCTGATTGTATTATGCATGGTTATTGATCACAAACTCATTTACAGTCCGTTCACTAAACGACCAAATTAGAACCAAAGTTAAATTAAAGGGTAATGACTATTTATTATCAAAACATTTTTCATATTCTTTTTTATTAGCCAAACCTATCGAAATACTCAGAATTAGCTAAATGTTAACTTCCATGTAACAATTGTGTTAGTAATATTGACTTGACAACATGATACTGACTTGAGACACATGAAAATTAACATTATATAATTTTATTATTTTAACTAACAATAAAGTTACAAAATTATTAATAATAAAATAAAAATGATTAATATTTTGGTGCATTATGAAATATTTGACGAATTAATAGTATTTGAACAATATTATTGAACGATATTAAAGAATATGAAAAAGATTTCTATAAAAAAATAGTTTGGAAACGGTGGTCAGGGTTTTGCTTTTGCCTTTTGCTTACATACTCGATTTCGAATCAAAACTTTGCAAGTTTCTGTTTCTCGGCAATCATTCAATCTCTCTACGCTAGGCCAGGGTTCATCTTCTCTACTTTCCTCTTCCTCGATCGCTCTCTCTCGCGCTTGACCTAACATTGCTACTGTAAGTCCCCCACCTCTGTTGTTCGAACCAATGGCATTCTTTCCGGCGTAGGAATTTCGCTTATGTTTGTTCCAATGGAGTCTCGTTCCTAAATGTACTGCTCTGCTTTACTTGTTTATGGACCAGTGTGAATCGTTCAATTTGTCCTTGCCGTTTATCTAAATTCGCACTCTTGCCATGTTTGACAGGTTCGTTTTACCGTCTTCCGCTTGCTGCTTCTGCTCTGCAACCGGCTTCTTTCTTTGGGTGAATTTCGGGCTCCAGTGAGCCCTGGATCGATCATTTGTTCATTGCTTCGTTTATTTCCCGGGGACGGTTTTTCAGTCTGATCACTTGAGTTTTTTCCCCCCTGATCGATTTTGGTGACTAGTGAACCTTTGAGCTGGCTGGGGGTTCTTTTCGTGGTGATCTGCTTTTTATGCTCAATTCATGGACTGCTTTATGGTGTATTTTGCTGGTCTCTCTATAGCTATTGACAGCCTGAATACGTAATGCATTAAGAATGGACGACGACACAGAAATTGGGATGCCACTCCCTGGTTGGAACAGCAAGAATCCAACTGAATCCTATGTTTTCATGGTATCCTGCTTTCTTGCTGCTGTGATTGGAATTCTGACCATAGCTTACACGGCTTTCCAATGGAGAAGGAATATCAATCTAAGTTGGATGAAGGCTATAGCCAGGTCGAAGAAAAATCCAAAGACGAGGCACAAGGTTCCTGCTGCACCGCATACATGGGTGCTTGAGTCCGTGTCTCGTGGAAAGAATCTGAATTGTTGTGTTTGTTTAAAATCCATGACTCCTTCTCAGACTCTTGGCCCTATGGTGGCGTCAGATAGTTTTATCCATTGTTGCAGTATATGTGGTGCAGCAGCTCACCTTGGATGCTCTAATAATGCACCCAAGGACTGCAAATGTGTTTCTATGGTCGGATGTGATAGTGTCATGCATCAATGGGCTGTTCGGTGGACTGAGATAACAGATCAACCTGATGAAACATCCTTCTGCAGTTATTGTGAGGAGCCATGTAGTGGATCTTTTCTTGGCGGATCACCCATATGGTGTTGCTTTTGGTGTCAACGACTTGTTCATGTTGATTGCCACAGTAGTATGTCCAGTGAAACCGGCGATATTTGTGATTTAGGTCCTTATAGAAGGTTGATTTTATCACCACTGTACGTGCAGGAACTTCACCGAAATGTTCCAGGTGGGTTTTTGAGTTCAATCACTCATGGAGCAAATGAAATTGCTTCTTCTGTGCGTGCAAGTATTAGGATTCAAAGCAAGAAGTACAAACATGGGAGTGAAAACTCCATCGACTCGGGCAACAGTGGTAGTATTGGTGATCCGTCCACTGAAACCACAGCTGAGACCCATCCTTGTGCAAATTCTTGCAATGGTGGTGAGGAAAACTGTGCTGGTAGTCTTAATATGGGGAGTCCTTATCGTGAATGTGCGAATGTGGATAATAAGTTGGAATCAAAACCTAGTTTTAAAAGGAGCGGCTCACTGAATCAAAGGGATGAATCACATGTACTAGGTATGAAGCAGAGATACGAGATAATTGATTTGCCATCTGATGCGAGACCTCTCCTCGTTTTCATTAACAAGAAGAGTGGAGCTCGGCGTGGAGATTCCCTAAAGCAACGCCTGAACTTGCTTCTAAATCCTGTTCAGGTTGATCTATTTAACCATGCTCTTTACTTTTCGGTGGTCTTAACTTTGTTGTAGATATTTTCTTAATCAAGCAATTATGCACTGTCTGCCACATCATCTTAACTCACTTCCTAAAGAGTATGGGATACCAGGGGACGGGAATGGGGAAGGAGATTACTCCAGAAATTCCATTTAACTTCGGTGCAAATTTTGTTGGTTCGGATCATGTGGGATATTTGAACATTATCTTTACTTTGACTAACGGCACTGCTGAGGTTCAATATTTCCTATGTTATATTTGATTGCATAAAGAAAATGTTGATAAACAGAGACATAGTACATAAAATTAAATTTATTACTAAATGATGTTGTGTGGTACCCGTTATGATTACTAATAGTTATGGAAGGTGTATGTTGTTCCCTAATCTACTTAGTACTCAAATGCTTCAGTATCTCTACTTAGTTCCCTAATAGTTATGGAAGGTGATTGCTAATATATGTTTGAAGTTGCTAATTTGGAAATCTTAATTTTAGTTCACTAGAAACATGGCTTAAAAATTGTATATTTTATTTGTTTAATCATATTGATTACTCAAGCTGTAACTTTTCTGCTGGATTACATTGCCCCCATTCTATTCAAGGTGACTTAAGCTTATTTTGTTGTTCCGTCACTGTCTTACAGGTCTTTGAGTTGAGTTCAGTACAGGGTCCGGAAGTAGGACTTTATCTTTTCAGGAAGGTGCCTCACTTTAGAATTCTTGTTTGTGGTGGAGATGGCACTGTGGGCTGGGTTCTTGATGCTATTGACAAGCAAAATTTTGTCTCTCCACCTCCTGTATCTATTCTGCCTGCTGGAACTGGAAATGATCTGGCCAGAGTACTGTCATGGGGAGGTGGTTTGGGGGCACTGGAAAGACAAGGAGGTCTCTGCACTTTAATGCATGACATTGAGCATGCTGCTGTTACTGTCCTCGATAGGTGGCAGGTGGGGATTATCAACAATCAAGGGAAACAGCTCCAATCACCAAAATTTATGAACAACTATCTTGGCAAGTGAATGCCTCTGTGATTTTAGATTCAATATGTGATCTAGTTTTGCTTTTTGATGGTTCTTCAACTAAGCTAATCAGAACAATGTTATGGTTTGCTTAATCGTGTTGGCTTACTATTTCTAGCATTTGTTTGCAGGTGTCGGGTGTGACGCCAAGGTTGCTCTTGAAATCCACAATTTGAGGGAGGAAAACCCTGAGAAGTTCTATAACCAGGTACAGACTGTTCGCATTAATATGGGCTGTGCTTTAAATTATGGAAGTAACATCACCGGAACCAAGGAGGAGGATGCTTGTGTTCCCCTAGATAAGCAAACTAGACTTAAAAACTATTCAAATTAACTAGGCGTTTGTAGGAGCATTTTTGTCAAGAGATAGTATCCTAGGATTTTTTTTTTTCCTTGATGAATTTGGAAAGTGAGATGGTTTAGCTGGATAGATGATGAGGCCTTGGGTTTTTGTGCTTTACATCATATTTTGATTTCACAGCCTAATGTATAACTCATCTTGGCTGGAATACGGGACATGTTTGTTTCAGTTTATGAACAAAGTTCTTTATGCAAGAGAAGGTGCAAAGAATATGATGGACCGTACATTTGCTGATTTCCCATGGCAAGTCAGGGTGGAAGTTGATGGGGTTGAGATAGAGGTCCCAGAGGTTAGTACTTTTGTTCAAAATTCTTGTTCACGTGTGAATATTTGTTCTGGTTTGGTTTATCCCTGTATTTGCATTCCGAATATATGGCAAGAAGCGGGAGGGATGCAATCTATTCTGAAAGTTCATATAAGATTTTTTTTTTTTTTTCCTTTTCAATGAGAAAAGGCTTCAAATAATTGATTTTGTTTCTCTCAATAATTAGTTGCTAAACAGTAGAAAAGTAACTAATCTGTATGGTATGGGTAGGGATGGTAATTTGTACCCGCCCTGCCAGGAATTAACCGACTTGACTTGTGCTGGGATGGGGTGGGCAATCCCTAACCCACAGTAGTGTGGGGGCGGGGGCATGTATTGCTTTCACCCTGCCTCGTTCCGCTCGTTCAACCTTGGTTTGTTTCAATATCTATTTTTATTTTTCCTAATTTGACTTATCTTAAATCATATTTTCATCCATTGATACTTTAAATAAGTGCAGGACTTCAATTTTCAGCTAATTAGACTTGTTTAATCTACCTATTATCTTTATTTTTCATTTATGAACTATTTTTCTTTTGTTTTATTGTTAAAAATAAATGTTTTCTTCAAATAATATATAAGAATGGGTCGACCTGTGCTAACCCGTACCCGCGTTGGTAGTACCCGACCTGCTCACACTTGATGCGAGGCGGGTATGGATATTGATGTACCCGCCCTACCCATCGCCATCACTTGGTATGGGATCTGTAATACAAAGCTTTTCATATTTACTTTTCCTTTTCTAGCAAGTTTCACGAGATTAGCCTTTTATTGTCGGTATAAATTTGGTACATCGTGGATGTATCTGTGAGGGTTTCACATGTAATCCCAGGGAAGTTCGTAATGATGGATAGTGATTAATAGGTATCTTAGAATTAATTCTGTGTTGAATGTGCATATCAACATTAGTCACTGTGTGGTAGGCTATACTTTCTCTTCTGACCTTGCAGGATGCAGAAGGTGTACTCGTTGCAAACATAGGAAGTTACATGGGTGGTGTAGACCTATGGCAAAATGAGGATGAATCTTATGATAGTTTTGATCCACAATCTATGCATGATAAGTTGCTCGAAGTTGTTAGCATTTCTGGAACGTGGCACTTGGGAAAGCTTCAGGTGAACTACGATGATATTTGAAATTCTTTGTAATAGCACTTGTCTTTGACATAGCAGTGGTGCAATATAGACTTGCTGTAATTTCATTTTCCCAGACAGCTTATGGTAAAATTGGATTGATCTTGTACATCTCAGGTTGGGCTTTCACGTGCACGCAGACTTGCACAAGGGCAGTTGATTAAGATACAGTTGTTTGCTCCTCTGCCTGTGCAAATAGACGGGGAGCCATGGCTACAGCAACCATGTACGTTGATTGTATCCCATCATGGCCAGGTAACTCTCTCTCTCTCTCTCTCTCTCATGGGAACTTTATTTTATCTAGATTATGGTAGAGTCGTGCGGCGATGGACTGAGATTCATTCTTGCAGTTACTACCTATAGTTTCATAGCAGACAACTTAGTGGATGTGTTACATGGTAATGAATCGACCACCAGTAGGACTGACCATTCGTTTTGATGAGGCAGGCCTTCATGTTGAGAAGAGCAGCAGAAGAACCACTTGGACATGCAGCGGCCATAATTGCCGATGTGCTTGAGAATGCTGAAACTGACCATGTTATCAATGCTTCACAGAAGCGAGCTCTTCTTCATGAGATGGCTCTCAGGCTATGTTGAGGTGTGTCTTCAGCAGCCACCAGTCTTCTGTTTTAAGACTGCAGCTTTGTGTGATTTGTTCCACTTCCACATGATGTTTGTAAATGAAAAAACTGTGCTAAAAGAATTTATAGGAAAAGCGATTCCCACAATGAATTTGAAAAGGAAGGGGAATTTTGATATATAGTTCTCCACAGAATGGTTTGCTATATTCCCAATACTGTCCAAACTAACACATCGGTTCAGTCTTGACATGGTTTATGAGAAGTTGATGCAATCTCTCTCTCTCTCTCTCTCTCTCTCTCCCCACTATTTTACACGCGATGCAAGTACCGGAAACCTTTTGTCGACATCGAAGCACAGTTTACGGGAGTGGTTCGTTGGAAGCAAATGATCGGCTCTTGTTTCCCTGCAGATTCCTGAAGAGCAACATTTTGGTAGCCTTCTTCCATAACCTGCCTATGTACTCCCTGCAGGCCGCTCTTGGACCGACGATGCAGCCTTTGTGGGTGACATACGCTGGGTGAGGTGACGACCACTTGAGTCCTTGTAGGGCCCTATTGACCTGACATGTCATGGCTCTGAGTTCATACGAGTCGTAGATGATGCTCCCGTCGTACCGGGGGCTAAGCTTGACGATGGATTGGTGAGTCCTTATTTGAGGGGGAGGTGGAGATGGAGAAGACGCCATGGCTGGCTTCTGTGGCAGCTTCTTCTCAGCTTACAGTTATGGAAGGGGTTATATGATGGAGATGAAACAAGGCAGGCAGTTCCTTTGCTCAAAAGCCGGCTTTGAAGGGGTTCTCCCTTTATCATGTTGCATGTGGATTGTGGAGAAAAAGAAACAAGCGTCGTGCTTTGGAAGTTACGGAGTTGGGCTGGCTTGGCTCTTGGGTGACGTGTTTCCCTATGAATGAAGCATATGCTTTTGACTTGAGCTGTACTATTACTAGATTAGGCCCGATCTCTTGGCCGGGAGAGTTTGATTTTCATGTATAGTAAACATTGAGAATTGAAATAACAATTTAATTTGGTAAGTTCTCCATGAATAATCCATGAATAATATAGGAAAGTATTTAATGTATTTGACTAATGAAGTTTAAAAAATGACAAACAACATCCAACTACACTAACGTAAATTCATATTTCAAACAAAGTCATATCTATTATAAAAATGTCTAAGAAGAACAATGATAAGAGTTGTTTTACATCACACATACATAATCAATCTTCAATATACGATAAATTTTTTTGCCTTTTCCATTGACTTTCGTGTATTCAATGATATAATGAAACAAACCATATGTTTAGAGTGTACTTAAAAAGAAACAAACTAACTAACACAGTCATGGTTCTATTGACTTTAGTGTATTCAATGATATAATGAAACAAAGCATGCAGATCTCCAGCTGCAAGTTCAACTAATAGAGCAACACATAAAAAGCTAAATCAAAGCGAAAAGAAGGCAAAAACTAAAAGCAACATACATAACATTTTGGGGGAAATCGACAACAATAAAAGTCATTGTATGAACACTTGATAATGATTTGAACACTTGTGATATATTAGTGAAAGTTAATAAAAGTCATTGTAGCTCTTACTCAAGTTAGAAAGACTTTGATTTAATGGTAAGTAAACAATTATATGTAGTGCTTAAGAGGGAAGATGAGACCTTACATTGTTTATTAATATGCATCTTAGTTTCATAAATTTTAATTTATGTGCTGAATAGAAATTCATCCAAGTTTGGTGCCATTGTAAAATGTAAGTTATGAGGCAAATGAAAAGTCTCAACAAGGTTGTCAACCCGCGGGTTGACCCGGACCCGGTGAATCTAGTGAGTCAAGGGTTAATGGGTCACCCGGTTTAGCCTGAAAATATGGAAAGAGTCATTATATTATACTTATCCTGATAAATTATATCAAATCTCATATAACATATGAGTTATAACATATAATATTACACTAAAATAACATGTCGTACTTAGATCCTACATATAGTGAAAATTCACCCACAATTATATAACAACAATATTCAAATGTTCAACTTAGAATTCCAAAGTTTGAGTTAGGCGGAAAAAAATTGGAAAATAGGCGCATTTCGCAAACCAAAGAAAAAAATGACACAATTTGACCTCTAACCCGATACCTTGTAGCGGTCGACTCGGCGAGTGCGTGCAACCCGTTTTTCTCACTGGGTCAGGGTCAAAGTGAGTCGACCCAGGGGTCGACCCGTGGGTTGACAACCTACTCTCACGCATCCACATGCTTGCAAAATAAATCTATATTATCAAACATAAAATCATATCTTGCATCAGAAAAAAGAACAAAAAAAGTAGTAATTCGATAATCAATATAGGAATCAATATGGACACAATATCTAACCAAGAGAAGAGGAAGCGAAAAAACACAAATTGTTGTGTATAGATTCCGCTCACGATATTTCGAAGTGAAAAATATCATAAAAATTATTAACCAATAAAAGGAAACGGTTAAGGGGAAAATGCATCAATTTGAACCTAAAATGAGAGGAATTAATATCCTACACCATCATATATAATGATATATTATATCCCAGAACATCATAAACAAATCTATCTAAATGAAAAAGTATACTAAATTGAATCCAATGTAAAAGTAACGATGAAGATAGATATTATATCCACCTAAGGAATAATAAAGTAAACCATGTTTCTTAGAGACCTCTCTCGATAGAACCACTCTATTATAAAACCCATTTCGTCAAACAATTGCATCATATAGAGTTTTAACTTAAATTTTAAGTGCTTATAATTAGCTATTTCAACTCATGAATGAATTAATTGTATCATTTGGTAAAAGAAAATAATTTATAAACTTGAGAGTTATTTCGTTTGTTGTTAAATTATTTGAACTAAAGTATGAAATTGCTTCAGAAACGTTATTTTATTCATTATTATTAAATTTAGGGGTGGAAGAATACGCTAATTCCGCAACTCACTTTATTGATTAACTTTCTTTTATGTAGGTTTTTGTTTTTGTGTAAGAATACGCTAATTCCGCAACTCGGGAGAGAGTTCCATTTATCCAAAAAAAATCGAATTAAAAATGCAAGGATTCATGTCGCTAATAAAGATGCTATGTATATTAAGATTAGATCCCCTCCAATTCATACTCGTTATCAATCTGCATTTCCTAAAGAAAGTGAAGTGACATGTAAGCGAGTGAAGTGAACCGAGGAGAGGGAGGTTGACTACTTAAGAGGTTCCGAATATCGGATCTTCGCTCGTTCCATGTCTTGGGCTTCTTTACTTAGTTTTAACTCAATGTGTTTTTTTTTTTTTTGCCGTCACTCGACCGATAGGTTTATCATATACGAGTCCAAAGGGTGAAGGAAGCGAATTTTTTTTGGGTATCCACCACCAACCCGCAGTGGATAGTGGTTAACCACTACCCACTGTGGGGCGGGTTGTGGGAAGTATAATTCTATATTTGTGGATGTGGTTACCCGCAAAATGTGGGCGGGTAACCACACCCACCCCAATTTCCACCCCTAATTAAAATTGCTATTTTTATTATAATGTCTAAGCATGTCTAGGCGAGCTAAGAGATAGACAAATGCCCAATGAGCGTCGTACGCCTAACGTGTTGTTGAACCTCAATAATTATAGCAAACTTTGAGTGCATCTTATAAATTTGATCACTTCTGTTAGGGTATAATTGATTACATCAATAAAGCGATCAATCAAAGAGTCTTTCTTTAAGATTTTGATAAGATGTCCCCTACTGCACAATTAGTATGACTAAATTGTACTAAGATAATCATGTATTGAATTTTGAATCGATAGCGCAAAAGATTGTACTAACTCAAGTAGAGTTTTAGCTGCTCAGTACTTCATATTCGCATGTAGATAGCTATTTCGAAGAGTTCGAATATTGATTGAGTTTGTTGAACTTTACCTAATGAAACTATGATATCAAGCGCAATATTTTATGCTTTTAGGAGAAATTGGGAAAATATGTTGGTGACATCAAACCTAACATGGATACCATTGAATTTAAGTGATAAGCAACATTTATGTTTAATAGATTAGACATGAAAAATATATTTAGCATTCTCATAAGTTGGTGTGAAGAAGTGAATAATTAGGATTTGAAAGCTAGAAACAAAGTTGATTTAATAAATAACTGCAAATGATATTGTGAAAAAGAAAACAAATGCTTAGAGCATAGCTAGGCATGAGAGTGTTACATTAAACTCTCTAAGAGAAAGCAAGTAACCATTAATAGTTAGCTGTGGATATTGAAATAGTTAACTATGATGAATACTATATACTGGTGTTAATACTTGGACCTTAGCTTGAACATTGCATCATGCTGATAAAAATTATTTAATTAATTACATTATTGAAATAAGGGCTCGTATGGAAGTTTTGATTGTTTTTTAGATTGTTAAAATAAATAAATTTTTCATAATATAATACATATGTTTTTATTTTTGTTCATACACAATTGTCAATTATTTGCTTGATTTGACTAAACTATCATTCAAATTGAATGATTAAACAATTTTGAATTTTAGCATAGACTGTCGAGATAATTGGTATCGGTGTTTGTCATTTTTATTTATCTTGAAATGTATGGTACCAGTGTCCTTATATCATCATTGAATACTTCATTCAACACTTCAATTCAATGCGTAATATTCCAACCAATGATATTTGTGTTGAGATTTTAAGATTATCCTTCATTTATAAGTTAGAAAAAATTATAAATTAATTATTAAAATATGAAAATAGAAGTATCAAACTCCACAAAATACTTAGAGGAGACTTAGCGGACTAACTAACTGTGATAGAAAAGTACTTTGTTTTTCATAATTTTAATGTTGTGTATTAATAAAGTACAACAAATGTGTCTTGTCTAATTAGTTATAATTCTTGTCTTTGGTGGAAGAGACCATGGTTCAAATCCTATCACTATTGATATCTTTTATATGAAATAAAAAATGATTGTGTAGTCGAAAATACCCTTCCTACTTTCACTCTTGTTGCAAGAAATTTGAAATGGAGCAAATCAAACTCTTTAAAATGTATTCTAAGTAGTCTAGAAGACTAGATTATACTAGCACAATGTCCGGCATGTTGGCGATGGTTATATAATTTGTAGGGGTGGGCAACGGGAAACTGGTATTTGGGTCTTCTCATATCTGTTTTGTTTTTTGAGGGTTATGGGTATCAAAATACCCGTTTTTTTTAAAACGGGATGGGACTTGGGATCCATGATTTGTAGGTAACCCGTTAATACCCATTTGGGTAATATAGGTACCCGTAATACCCATTTCATGATTAGATTGAATTAGTTGAGATGAACTTATCTAGAATATTAAGGGTGATTAGCCGAAGTGTTAGTAGGAACTGTTTGTAGGGGTGCTTCTGGATAGAGGTGGGATTTAAGATTTATCTAAATGTCTATATTAACTATCGAACTATAAGAAAAGAGAAGGCCCTATTTTGTATGCGGCGGTGGAACTATTTATATGCGAGAAGTGTTCTTGAACAGCAGACCGAAGGCAATATGAATATTTGTATTAATTCTCTCAAATATCAATCCTTTTACTATTTTATATGCAACATGGGGAAGAGAAGGCTCTATTTACACTGAGGTCGATTGGGCGTTTATAACTCTGAAAATTCACTTCTGACTTCTTGCT